ACAGAATGGAGAAATGGAGAAAGGATTATGGTGTGATCATGTCCCATTTTGGGGGGAGTGTTGGTGGGGGAGTGAAGTCTCTCTCTGGTGAGTGTGTGTGCTCGCTGTAAATTAAAGAAAAAAAAAGTCCTGGGGCTGGTAGGTGGTGTGGTGGTCAAGGGTGCTGGACTCCCACTAGGATGATAGTTGTCTGAGTCCCAGACCTGGCTTGCTCTCTCACTTTCCTCTCTTGCTCTCTCTTTCCTTCACCCTATCTCTCTCTAGTCAAATTAAAATAAATAAATAAGAATAATGTTAAATAAAATAATTATTTTTTAAATAAAAGAATCATTTAATTTTATTTATTCATTCATTTACTTTAATTTGACCAGAGATAGAGAGAGAGGAAGTGAGAAAGCAAGCCAGCAGGTCTGGGACTCAAACCATGGTGAGCCATGTGGGAGTGTCCAGCACCTTAACCACCACACCATTTGCTGGCCCGGATAAAATAAATGTTTAAAAAATTATTTATTTTTATTTAATACCATTTCTTATTATTATCTTCCAATTTGACCAGACAGAGACACAGAGAAAGGGAAAGTGAGAAAGCAAGTTGCCAGGTCCAGGACTCAAACCACAGTCAGCCATGTGGGAATCCAGCACCTTTAACCACTGTGCCACTTGAGGCCCCGATAAAATAATTCTTAAAAAAAAAAAAAAAAGCCCCGGACCCACAAGAGGGATAAATGATATTGTGGGCATAATGATTATGTTGTTGTACTCCCACATAGCTGATCGCGGTTCAAGTCCCAGACCTGGCAGTTTAAAACTCATGCTGGGTGTGTGTGCATGCCCAAAATCCAGAGAGGAGAACTGAGAAGGGACTGCAGTATGACCATACCCAGGGGAGGGAGGGGAATTTCTCATTTTCTATCTATCTCTGTCTCTGTCTTTCTGGAGAGCACACGTGCCCTACAGCAAAAATCTAAAAAAGAAAAAAAAAGTCCCTTGATAATTTCACATTAAGCCTTTGTAATGGGATTAAAAAGGAGAAAATTTGATCCAATTAAGTTGTCAAAAGGTGGAGCCTTTGGGAAAAGATTAGGATTAAGGCAATTAGGAAGGAGTCCCCTGATTGCATTTTGTTAGGTTTGTAAAGAGAGGGAATGAAATAGAAATATGCACAGAAGACAGACTGTGCTCTCTGCCATGCTGTGATGCAGAATCTCTCCAGAGAGGGCCCCTGTATCCTGGACCTGAATAAACCTCCATTTTTGTTAAAAAAAATTATTATTTATTTAATTTGACCAGAGATGGACAGAGTGAGAGAGGGAGAGACAGATGGAAAGTGAGAAAGCAAGCCGCCAGGTCTACGGCCTGAACGGATAGTTGGCCATATGGAGTCCAGCACCCTTAACCACCATGCCACCTGCTGGGCCCCCTAAACCTCCATTTTTATAAACCATCCAGTTTCAGGGTTTTTGTTTGTTACTAGCCACAAAATGGGCTAGAACAAATTGACACCCGAGGATTCTTCAAGGCAGGGTTTCTCCCTCTCAACACTATTGACACTCTGGGTGGGAAAATTGTGTTGTGTGTGGGGTGGTGGTGGTGGGGGGAGGTCTGTTTGTGTACTGCAGGATGTTTAGCAGTGTCCCCAGCTAGAAGCATCCACCAAATCGACAATAAAAAAAAAATGCCTTTAGACATGGTCAAATAGCTCCATGAGGGGAGGAGTAAAAATCACTCCAAGTCAATAATCATTACTACAAAGGTTTCAAAAGGCAGCTTGACCTTTAGCAAGAAATGTCTTTACACAGCAGTGAGAAATTGTTCCATTTTCTTCAGGATCGCCTGGTTTTCTTAAGTGACTGCATGGTAGTGACGCTAATGTATTTTTCTTTTTTTTCTTTTTTTTTGGAGAGGTTTTTGCTATAGGGCG